TTTAAATGATATAATATTTTTGGAAAGTTACTGGTAGCATATCTCAACCACAAAACTGTTCATCTTCTTTGACACAGTAATTCTACCCAGGGCTCTAACCTAAGGGAATCATCACATTTGCAGATAATAGTAAATGAGTCATCACAACATTATTAAATGGCCTTAAAATGGGGAAATGGTTAATATGATAATGACATTTCCATAGGATCAAAAAAAAACACATGGTCTTCCAAAAGTATGTTTTTGAAGACTACAATATGATAAGTTAATTCTTTTAACTACAAAACTACAAAATTTCTAAGCAAATAAACAAAAGTTTGGCATAGGCAAAGAAAAAATGCCAGAAGAAAACGTACTCAAATATTACCAGTGGTTACTTCCTACATACACTCTATATTACTTTCATAACCTGAAAATTATTATCTGCTGAACAGATAAAAGAAGAGATAAACAACCCTTAGTACTGATGATAGACAATGCAAATCTTCTCATGAGTCCACCGATGTCTCTCCAACAGAGAGCGCTTGCAAATGAGATTGCTATTTTCAACTGGTGAATATAGAATTTATAATGATAAATGGGTGAGTTTGACATTAATTCTAGGCAAGATCCTGATAAAATGGGTTCTTTAATGGAACTTTGTATGAACCTAAAAAAGGAAACCATCAATCAACAGGGACATCACGGATTCACTCAGTCATCATTTCAGCCAACCTCCTTCCTTTCTTTGATGAGCACTTCGGAGGGGCAATAGAGGATAAATTTTTCAACTGGTAGATGTCACCACACTGAGAGAAACCAGTCAATCTGCTATCAAGATCAAGACCCTGAGAGATGGGGGCAAGGTGCTTAAGCCACTAAGAAGTCACAACTGCCTAATTTCTTGGATGTGATAATGGATGGGGTAATAGAAGGTAAGCTCATTAAAACGTGGATGGTACCAAACTTAGAGGAATAGCAGATGTGCATCACGATCCAAATCTAAATCCAATGAGATAATATTCAACACAGTGTAAAATAGTATCATTCAAGGCTAACTACTAATGGGTACTGGATTTCTTTTGAGGGTGGTAAAAGGGTTCTGGAACTGGATAGTGGTGATGGTTGTAAAACACTATAAATATACTACAACCACTGGATCGTATACTTTAAAATGATAAAATGGTGAAGTCTATGTCACTTAAATTTTATCTCATTAAAATAGCAAATACAACAGCAAAATCTATACTGTAATACATATGTATAAGATACATCAACATCCACAAATACTTAACACTAATACTAAAAGAAGATTCACAATACTGTCAAGTAATGGATACAATGCACAGGAGGCCTGGAATACTAAGGCAAATTCTTAAAAATGAAATACTGAAATAAAGAAGTATTCATCCTTTCAATTATTCAATTATTATTTACTGCATGCCTACTTGGTACTAAGCACTGTGTTAGGTGCTATAGATGCAGGGTGAACACGATAAAATCCCTGTCTTCACAGGACTTCCGGTCCAGCAGGGGAGCCTGACATTAAACAAATATCACTGAAATAAATATAATAATTGTAATGAGGAGCCCAAGGGGGAAAGTACAAGGTTCTCTGGTAAAATACAATAGGCGGATCTCACAAAATGCGGCTGGAGAAGTAGGAAGGGCTTAGTCCATACAGGGACTTACAGGCCACTCTGGGGATTGCCTCTTTATGTCCTGGGTACCAAGGGCAGCCATGCAAGAATTTTAGCAGGAAAATAACATGATCAATTCGTGGCATAAAAGCATCACCCAGACCCCTCTGTAGAAAAGCGATTAGAGAAGAACAAAAGAGTAAATTAGGAGACTATTAGAGTAATAGCTCAGACTTGGGGGTGGGGGGTTAGGGATGGAAAGCAAGAGAAGACTTTTTCAAGCTCTATTTTGGAGTTTTGGAGGTTTTCACATATTCTATTTTATAACTCAAATTTACACAGGTGGGAAAGATGCCTTCCAGAAAGACCAAAGCATAAAAAGTAGAGATTACGTAGCCAGGATCCTGGACACGTTAGCATCAATCTGGTACCAAAGCAAATCCTACAAACACTTCAAGCTACTTTTAGGTGTCCTGAAGTCTTTCCATATAATTAAGTAGTACTTGAACCGAAATTATTCCTGAGCTTCCAGCAAGTTTTCAGAGTGATAAACAAAGCCGGACAGTGAAGTAGAAATACAAAAGTTCACGGTGATGAGTAGCCAACTGCAAACTAGCTTGTCCTTGGAATGGTTTTTTTTTTTCCTATAGAACAACCATTCTGAGAGCAAAGCACCCTGCTTAGCATATGCTCTGTTAAAGGCTTCAGTTAAACACACACACACCCAGAAAGAAAAATGTGCAAAGCATTCCAGATTATTCATGTGCATCTGTCTCCCTAAACTGCACCCCAGAGACAGAAGCAGAACACAAAGGCTGTGATGGATATTACGTAGTTTACAAAGAGTAAATGAATGACTTCCATTGTAATAGGAAAGCAATTGTACATTATACATACAGACATGTCTTTTCCTTTTAAAACAAAACCCTACTACCCACATGGTAAATATTGCTTCAAACCCACAGTGGGTCAGAGAAACAAATTATGTGTACACTTCTTGCAAATCCAAGACATGAAACCAAGAAATCAAAGGAAATTTACCCATTCAGTTCTCCCAGAGTATAATGGAAGCAAATAATAAAGATGAATATGACCATTAACAACTATATTTTTTACAACGCATGCTAAGTCATCTTGTTCTCTTTTCCATTTAGACTGTGAAAATTATTAATAACTTTGCACTTAAAAATGTAAAACAAAAGGATGATGTTATTTAGCTTCAAGGAATCATTCATCTTTATCACTGTTACCATCTTCAGCTGCTTTGAGGTTGTAATTATTTATTACAACATATATTTACACAACTACCTGAGAGCTGTTGCAAATGCTCCTGGTCTTTCTCGACTCCTTCCATGTCAAGGTGGCCCTTCTAAGAAAGCTTCCCTTGCCCTTTATGGCACAGCTCATCCATTCTCCCCTCTCTATCCGCGGTACCTTGTACATATCTCTATCATACAATGACACATTTACAACTGCCTCCCTTCAGACTGTGAGTTCCTGGATGCTCCCAGCACTTAACACAGAGCCTGATACAGGAACGGTCCTCAAAGGCTTGTGGAATGAAATGAATGAATAAATAAATCAGATCCACCCAACCTCCCTAATTTCAGATTTTTTTCCACCTGCATTATGCTAAATGTTAATGACCCCTCTGAGTCAATGACACTTCAAACAATTCTCCATTCCCCGCTTCCCCGCCCCCACAATTTCTTTCCAATTTCAGATATAAGGGGATTTCTAACCTTAAGTACTATACTGCTTAGAGGGGTATCTATAAAAACCAATTTTAAGAATAAGTGAGAACATTATTTGCTGTTCAGGTTTACACATATGACTTTGTACCAGGTAAGTCTGAATACAGACAAGGCCTTTACTCCCCCAAAATTCATAGTCTATGAGAAAATGACATCTAGTGCCATGTAACCCTATCATTCTTGCTACTGATATTCACATGGAATATCTTTTATAAAGGGTCCCTTTCATCACAAAAGAAGAAAGGACGCCCTTCGCAAGGGCAGAGGGAGTCCATGAGTTAAATCCATCATTCTCAAATAAATTATTTAGCGCCACTTAAACTCTGAAAGCTCTGAGCCACCTATCCTGTGGTTTATGGCACTGTCTTCTAAGTTTACAATTTCCCGATTGTGAAGTAACAATTTAATTCCATAGTGCAAAATCGATACAGTTTAAATGTACTGTTGGAACTGACATTCTCCAGTAAACTAAAAGATTTCTCCTTCCACGGACATGAGGTCATTTTAAAGCTGCTTTTACAAAGAGGGACTCAGGAACCATTCCAAAATTTAGTAATGAATTCTGCTTGCTGGACATAAAGGAAAGCAATCGCCCTCCTGCCCCTGACCTCTTGAAATGAGGGGCTCCCTGAAGCCACCCAGCTCTGGCCTCTCTGACCCAGCTTTGACCTGATCCTCTAAGGGGCCTGGATTTCGAATAAGAGATCATCTTGGCAACGCAAGGAACAGTGGCGGTAGTAACAAGAGACAGCCAATAGGATTTTAAAATATATTCTTCCACTAGTTTTTTAGGGATTTTCTCAGACAGGGACATCGATCATCGTTTTCATTCTAAATTATATTATCAGTACAACTACGAGTAACAAGGTTTGGTGCAGCGGGTAACTGTACCAAAACACCGGTTTCCAATGTTATTTCACCGGAATGATCAGGGACCATTCGCTTTTGTTAAGTGGGAAAAGCTGGTGGTGTTCAAAACACACGAGTGCGTCACGAATCCATAAGGCGCATCCTCTTCCCCAAAGAACGAAATAGACTAGAAAAGGCAAGAACACACCATCATCGAACCTACAGTGAATATCAACCCTCAGCTCTGGGCAAGGGCCCTCCAGGCTGCGAGCGTGTGGATGAGGATGGGGAGAGGGAAGGCCCAGTCGGGTGGCCCCCCAGATTTAACGAGCTTCCAAGCGCATTCAACGCATCTGCATAGAGCTCATTTCCTTGCACCTGTCACTCAAAGGCTTGTTGCCCTTTCAACTGCTCAGGGCAGCCGGGAGCTGAAAGGAAAAGCCCGGTGCCAGGCCCGAAGGCAGCGTCTACCAGCAGCCAGTTACTAGCAGACCGCTGGGTTCCCTCCCGCGCACCCCACGTCCACTGCGCACCCCCAAGGACAAGAGGTTAGATCCAGCGGCAGCGCAGGCGAGGCCTGTGAGAGGCAGCGAGAGAAAAGCCACCTCCCAGGGACCCCGGAGATGCTCGGGCGCTGCGTGCGCCTCCCTCGCTCGCGGTCCAGGCTCCGCCAGCCACTCGCGGGGAGTCCGACCTCCCGGGCGCTCAGCATCCCTCCTCTTCCTCCTCCTCCTCCTCCTCCTCCTCTCCCTCCTCGGCCCGCGCTCGTGCCACCCACCTTGGGCGTGCGGATGTGCTCCATGGCGGGCCCGCGTCTGCAGGGTCCGGGGCGGGCGCGGCCTCACGCACCTGCGCGCGTCTGCGGCGCGGCGGGAGGGGCGCGGGGAGGGGGCTTCGCGCCCGGGAGTGGGCGGGGCCGGCCGCGAGGTTTGGCTCCGCCCCCCAGGTGCGGTCGCGCCGGGCGTGCGGGGCCCGGGGCTCCCGCGCGGCCCTAGAGCGCGCGGCTCTGCGCAGCCTCACACCTGTGCCGCCCGCAACCACCCCGCCTCGTCTCCGGCCGGGGTCGCCAGAGCCGGAGCTGCTCGCGTAATGCGTAGGGCCCCTGTTCCCCGAGACACAATGAGGGCCTTGTGCTGGGTGTGGCCTCTCGGAGAAGAGATGAATACGCGGGGCTCCAGCGGCTTCCTTCCAGGGCAAGCCAGGATAGGTGGCATTTCAGGGTGGGGCGGGAAAAAGGGCTGCCACATACACACTAGACCCAGTGTCGTCTAGCGGGCTCTGTCTGCATATTTGGGCACTGGCGCAGCCGGCAGAGCATTTACATAAGGGTGGAAGTAACAGGAACAGTGTGAGCACCCTGGTAAGTGCGCATGCTAAGTCAGGCATCTCACATCAACCTGCGACTTTGCTGTTGGAAGCGACGATTTTCCCTTGGCAGGGTTTTGGGAGCTCATCTGCCACTTTCATTTAGTTTTAACCGAACTCGGAGACAGAGATACAAAGCATCCATTATGAGGAATCGTGTTTCCATTAATGATAGTAGGAGCAGTTGTTGCCATTTTTAGTATTAAGCCATTGGGAAAAGCCAAAGACTTGACTTGCAGCCCTAAGTGTACAACACTCCATCAGGGCTACAGTTTTTATAGAACTGTGCATAGTTATTGGGATAATATCCGTTGAATTTTTTCCTAGCTCTTACTCATCTTTTCCGCTGGATTGTGAATTCTTTGACTGTAGAGACTATTTTTTATCTTCTTTTATCCAACGCCTAGTGGCACATTGCATCCTTCCAAAAAAAATGTTTATTTAACCAATACGGTGTTGAAATCATTTTAAAATTCCAGATCCCCTTCACATACCTTCTACCGTTTCATCCACCTACCACTCTAGGAGGCAATTAGAACAAGTACTGTCAACTGCCATTTGCATACATCAAGACTGACCAGGGTATAATTTCTTCCTTATTAAAGAATGTCACGAATAGAGTTGGGGCACTGTGGTGCCAACTCACACACTGGCCTCACTCTGCTCATTTATACAATGAGAAAGTCGCCTGCCTACATGATCTCAAAGGTAGCTTCCCTCTCCAAATTCCACCAATACCAAGAATCTTTTTTCCGTTTGAGGGGAAACATTCTAAATGGGCAAATGACTGTATGCTTGATGAGTAATTTTTGCATGCAGGTACTTCAAAAAAAACAAAAAACACTGGTAGATGAAGAGAGGTAAGTCCAAACAATTTAAGTAGCCTAATGCTAAAAAAAAAAAAAATCACAGATTAATTTAAAAATACATTTTACATTAATCATAGTTATAAAATTGGGCTTACGTTAAAATGAATCAAGAATTATACTCAGATTATTAGGATACACTACATAAAAAAGGTTAGAAATAAAATGATAAGGAAAGAAATTTCTATGAACAAACATTTGGCTTTGATCTAACAATTCTTTGAGGAACATTTCTCAACTTGTCCTCCAGCCCCCATCACTACTGGAGTTATTAGATCACAAATTGTGTTGATTCCTAATAATCACATTGAGCTTTCTGGTATTTACACTGATACATCCCCCCTCCCCAGCCCCCAAGCTTCACTGTTGCCCCCAACACTACCCAGCAGGGCAGAAGAGGTTGAAAAAAGAACAAGAATTGGAGACAGTAAAGTGAGGGACTCAAGAATATATGGCTGCCTATATTCATCCTAAGTAGAGGAAAAAGCAAAACCAGCCGTTTATTTACTCAATAAATATTGCTATTATTTAACTATTGGTCATACTCAAGGTATCATGACATATCATGCTGGGAGACTGAAAGGAAACCCAGATGAGAAGGATAATAAATGCTATAATTGCGCCATGGCTGTCACTAAGGAAATGGAAGGTAGACCAGCTAAGGTGGTGACAGAGCATAGGAAAATGCCAAAGGGAGCCTCAAGAAGGACAGTCTACTTCCTACATTTTACCTATTCCTTTGAGAAAAATCAACGGATAGACTCAGGATCATATACTCAGTTGTTGAAGTTTGATATCTGGTGTGTCTGGAATGAACCACCATTTGGATGAATATTGCATTTTGGAGCCTTCACAGAGCAGAAATCTCTCCATCTGGTCCCAGGCCAAGAAGTGAGAAGGGGAGGGAAAAAAGCTTATTTCTCCAACTTTACATAATTTGCAGATGGTTCCACACCCAGATTTACACTAAATCAGCCTATGTCCAAGGGGTTGGAAAATGGCTGTTTTTCTCCAGTATTTATGACTCTTGGATGGAAAATAAGTGTATTTCAAAAAAACTATTTTCACCATCAAGCAAATGTCAGACAATAAAGACCTAGTTACCTGCGTATTCACCAAACTACTTCTTCCCTTGGCATGCTGTGGTTGTCGTCATTTTAACACCGGTGTCTCATGTTTCAGTGATTTGTACCTTTGTGAAATGGTAGCTATCACTGTGCACATCAATATTTAAATCTCCTGTCCTTCCTGGGCACACAGAAGACTATACTTCTCAACCTCCCAGCTGTTGAATGGGGCCATGTGACTAATTCTGGCCAATGGACTGTGGAAGTGGCTTGTGCCACTTCTGGGCCAATCCCTGCAAATCCTGTGTGGCCCTTCAGCTCTCTTTTCCCCTGTCTTGATGATCTGCAAGTCATATGTTGAGAACAAAGAGAAAATAGTAATAACGAATTTACTCTCAGTATATGAAAATAATAATAATGAATTTGCTCTGAGGCTATGGCCCAAAACTATTCAGTATTAGATTGAAATGAGACAAGAGAGAAACAAATTGTATCTCTGAGTCATTATTAAAAGAACCACCCCGGAGAGCCACATCAGATTCTTTTATGAGTGAAAAAATATACATTTGTTGTTATTGCATGAAGCCATTAAGCTTTCAAGGTTAATTCATTATTCTAGCCTAGCCTTGCTTAAATTGTACTGACTTTATAGAGAAGGGAAATTTGAGAGGGAGTCAAAATAATATAGTCTCTACCTTTTGTGTTTCTGATTTTTTTTTGAAAAGGGAGTTGATAATGTCTTTAAAGAGCTCTAAGGACACTTACCACAGGTGAGGCCTAAATTACTTGATTATGCATTGCCAAATGTCTTCTAGAGAACCTCTTTTTAAGAAGTTTTGATTGCATAGATATTCCAGTTGCCAGTAATATTGCTAGAGGAATTTTTAAATAAAAACTTGATATTAACTGGGAAATTTCCCAAAATCCTGTGATCTTTAGTGGCCCGAGGAGATTTGGATACTCACCAAAAACACTTGCAAGACTTTTTCCGGAATACTTACATTTCTCCTGAGGCAACTCAAACTTCTGATTTGGCAGTGAAGCCAAGAAGTGTCTCCTCCGGGGTGGTATTGCTAATGATTACAAACTCAGTAAAATCCTATTCAGCACTATTAAATCCAAGTGGTCCAGGTTATGTGTGGAGGAGGGCACACATCACTGAACAAGCCCAGCCTCAGCCAGAAATGTATTTGTTGCTCAGTCTGATAGGGTCAGAACTGCATTTGGGGTTTTGCCTGGTGAAATATATATATATGTGTGTGTGTGTGTGTGTGTGTGTGTGCCTACACACAAATAGCATCTTCTCCTTCGGCATTTTTATGAACTTGATGATGCAAAGTATCAATGTCTTCTGTGGCCTTTCCCTAAGCCAAAGATGTAGAGAAAAAACACTCAGTGGACTGCAGACAACTCTGCCATTTTTCTAGGAACCAAAAAGGAAACTAAAAGGGCAGCATGAAAAAGAGCACTTACTCTGAACAGGCGAGGTTTTAAAATAGTCTCGTTCCAAAACTATGAAACTAATAAAATAAAACATGCGGGAAACTAGTCATGACATTGATCTGGGCCAGGATTTTTTGAATAAGAACTCGAAAGCACAGACAACATAAGCGAAAATAGACAAATGGAATTATATCAAACTAAAAAGCTTCTGCACAGCAAAGGAAACAATCAATTGTGTGAAAGGACAACTTATAGAATAGGAGAAAATGTTTGCAAACTACTCATCTGATAAGAGGTTAATATCCAGAATATACAAGGTATTCAAACAACTCAATAGCAAAAACACAAATAATTTGGTTTCAAAATGGACAAAAGACTTGAGTAGGTATTTCTCAAAAGAAGACATACAAATTGCCAACAGGTATATGAAAAGGTGCTCAACGTCACTAATCATCAGGGAAATGTGAACCAAAACCACAATGAGCCATCACCTTATCTGAGTTGTCATGGCTATTATCAAAAAGACAAAAAATAACAAATGCTGGAGAGGATGTGGAGAAATGGGAATATACACTGTTGATGGGAATGTAAATTACTACAGCCTTATAGAAAACAGTATAGAGGTTCCTAAAAAATTTAAAAATAGACCTACCATATGATCCCACAATCCCACAACTAGATATTTTTCCAAAGGAAATGAATCAGTATATTAAATAGGTATCTGCACTCTCGTGTTTATTGCCACACTATACATAACAGCCACAATATGGAAGCAACCTAAGTGTTCATCGGTGGATGAATAAAGAAAATGTGGCATGTATATACACAAGACAATACCGTTCAGCCATAAAAAAGAATGAAATCCTGTCATTTGCAGCAACATGGATGGACCTGGAGGACATTACGTTAAGTGAAATAAACCAGGCATAGAAAGACAAATCTACATGATCTCACTCATTTGTTGAATCTTAAAAAGCAGACCTCATAGAAGGGATTACCAGAGGATGGGGAGGGGAGGGAAGTGGGGGTTAGGAGGAGAGATTGATTAACAGGTACAAAAT